TGTGTTGTTTGCATTTGTATTTCTAATGAAGTTAAGACTTACCTTGAGAAGACTCAAAAGCAGGCAGCCTGGCATCAACAACTACCCTTATAGTCCTGGGAATAAAAGACTGATTTTAAGGAATGTTCTGGATTCCCTAGAACATTAAGCCTGTATTTATTTTCTAGACTACTAAAATCAGTGATGTCAATTTTTCTGATTGTATTAATTGTTTAAGTTGCAATAGATTCACCTTAAAACTTTTCAACAAACTATCACCAAAGGAACTCCAAAAGTGATGCCCCAGACTGATGTTGCATGACCCATATCATCCAAGGAGAACTTCATCCCTCTAATGAGAGACACAGCCTTCTCCCACCCTAAACTACCTTAAAATAGTTTCAAAAGAATCATTTATAGTCACAAATTTCCTCCCAAGAATGGGGAATAAAATATCTCATGGGGAGAAGTTTTTAGCAAGATGTTTGCCAGCAACAAATGACAAGGGTAGGGGATAACCAATATTAACTAACTTTTAAGAGTTTCAGAGTTGTCTTTGGCTACAAATAAAGTTTCTATTGGAGTGAAAACTTTTCTGAATGCATGTGGAGTTTCAAAGGGCAGAGGATCTCTACAGCATCAAGAGCCATCAATCCAAAACATATCAGAAAAAGAAATAACATGTTAGTTCTATGTCACATGGTACTAGCTCAAGTCATTCAGGAAGAGGGACTCTCAGTTGAGAAGATGCCTCTGTTAAACTGGGCTATGGGCAAGTATGTGGTACACTCTCTTGACTGACAATTGATGTAGGAGAACACACATCCTTGGCCTGGTGTTCATGGGTGCTGAAAGTTAGCAGATTGAGCAAGCCATGGGTAACAAGCCAGTAAGTAGCACTCCTCCATAGCCTCTGGTTCGGTTCTTGCCTCCAGGTTCCAACTTTGAATTTCGGCCCAGTGACTGAGTATGACCTGAATGTTGTAAGCTGAAATAAACACTCTCCTCCACACATTTTTTTGGTCATGATGTTTTGGATACCAAAACTCTCATTAAGACAAAGGCAGTGGGAAGCTAGTCAATGATGAAGGAAAGTGAGTGAAAACAGAATCATGATAAAGAAATAAGTCTGACACAGAGAAGAGGTACATATTATCTGTCATATGTGAATCTGAGTTAAAGGGGAAGTAGAGGCAATCAGGGAAGTAAGAAGGAACTGTGGTGGCATGGAGAAGTTGAACTGATTGAAGGACAAGGCATGGGAGCATGACTATGTCAACAGTAAAATCCTTCATTTGTACAAACAACGTATGCATCAATAATTATAATAAAATGTTTTATTACTGATGGTTTACGATACTTGGTCAGGTCAGCTATGGCTCATCACTTGATGTTTTCATTTTTGTAGACAGAAGCTTTGAGTAAATGTTACAGATGCCAAGAAAAGCTGCAGATGTGGAATGATGCCAACCCAAGAGATAGGGTGCATGTGTTACAGGTAACAGAGATAAGATGCTCTACTATCATTTCTGTGACTGTGATGAAACATCCCAACACAAAGAAACTTAAGGTAAAACTTCATTTATTTCAGCTAGAATTCTAGGTTGGAGTTCATCATTGTGATAAATCATCAACTTCAAAAAGCTAGTCACATCACACCCATAGTCAAGAGCAGAGAAAGATGAATAAATACATACTTGGTTGTTTACTTGTATTCAGCTCAATTTTAAGACTCCCTACCTAGGGATGATGTTGCCCACAGTGGACAGAGTTTTCCCACAACAATTAACTTATGATAGTCTCCCACAGACACGCTCACAGGCCAACCCCACTGTAGGCAATCTCTCACTAAGACTTTCTTTCTAGGTGAACCTAGATTATGTCAAGTTGATAATTATAGCTAACCGTACTCCACTCTTGGACAACTTGACATGCAAACACATTACTTTTACCCTGTAGCTTCTACTCACTGTCCTCAAGGCCTTTTTTGTAATATAAAATATAGTCCAAGTTTAAAAATCAACAGTCCGTTTAAAATTCCAAAGTGTTTTAGCTGTTAGCTCCTATAAAGTTAAAATCAATTTATATACTTAAATCATGCCATAGCACAGTAACATTTCTATTATGAAACAGAAGGACAGGTTATAGCAAAAAAAAAAGAATCACACTAACACAAAAATAAACTCTATCAGAAATAATAGCCCATCATACAGCTCCAACATCCAACATTTGTGGCTCATGAGGTAATCTTGGCTCCAAAGGGCTTCAGTAGCTCCGTTTCTGCAGCTCTGTCACCTATGCCATATGAAGCTTCTCCCTCAGGCTTTGTCCAGCTCCACTCCTCAACTACAGCTATGCTTTTGGAACATCTCACAGTCCTGGCATCTCCAGTATTGTGGGGAGTCATTGCAATCAAGACTTCATTTTCAAAACTTAATTCAATGGCCTCTCGGACCCTTCCTACAGGGAGTCTGATCTTGCCACACTGTACTAAGGCTCAACTGCTCTCCACAGCCCCTTCCAATTTTGTATCTGTCACCAGCACCATAGAGATGATATTTGTGGCAGCTTGGAAGGTAGCCCTGTTCCCTTGATTCACAACTTGTCAACTTCTGTGTGTAAATCCCAAGAACACATTTTCCTGCACATTTGCTTTCAAAGACAGGGGGCCACCTAATTTTAGTCTTTCCTACTTTAAATGAATTAGGATCCCCACAAGACAATGCCTCAAGTGGGTAAGACTGTATCACATTGAAAATTAAAGCTAACCAGTCCAGAAAAGTAAGGCTGCACAAACTCCAGGCATAGAGTCAGAGGATTTGATGTTTTCACTGCTGAAATTTGGTCTTTACTTGATATCGTTCTGTTCACACTTTTAGGACAACAACGTTTATTCTTTTGTTTGATGGGAACACAGGTTGTATTGTTGTTGGTTTTTTGTTCTGTTTGCTTTTTCTCTTTTCCCTTTTCTTCACAGAGGTTCAAAATCAAGTAACTGCCTTGATATCAAAAGAGTCTTGGCTTTGGAACAAGAGATTAACAGGACTTTCAAAGTTGAAGTCAATAAGTTTTGTATTATAAGATGGTCCAATAGCACACAGGAGTCATGAATATAAAATGTCCCCCCTCAGCTTCTTTGAATACTCAGGGGTACTGCCTTAGATCGCGGTGGAACTTTTAGGGGGTAGAGTCTTGCTGGAGGAGCAAGGTCACTGGGATCAGGGCCTTCAGGTCTTGATGCCCAACACCCTTCCTCTTTGTTTTCCACTTCCTGGCTGCTGATGTGAAGTGTCCAGCCCTCTCATGCCCCTGTCACCAGGGCTTCCAGGGTGGACTCCTCTATAAAAGCATGAACAGAATGAACTTTCCCTTCCTTATGCTTCTTCTTGTCAGATATTTGGCCATGGCAACAAAAGTGACTAATATTCATTGTCAAAGTAAGAAACCAAATCCATTCATAAGCTTAAAGAAGAAGGATCCCATTTCTCCTCCTCAGTGGCCCTTCCTTCCCCTTTCTATAGCTTTACCTCCCTCAAGTTTTGTGTCTGTCAGAGACTAAACTACTCAACAAGTCAGAGCCCTTGTGACCTAATTGTCTCTAAATTACTAACCTAGGGACATTTGATTTTAAATCTTTTTATTCATTTTACATACCAACCACAGTTCCCCTCCCTCCCCTCCTCCTGCTCCCCATCCACCTCTCCTCCCCACCACCATCCACTCCTCAGAAAGGGTTAAGACCTCCAATGGGGAGTCAACAAAGTCTGGCACATGAAATTGGGGCAGGATCAAGCTCCTTCCCCTGCACCAAGGCATCCCAACATAAGGAATGGGCTCCAAAAAGCCAGCTCACGTGAGCCAGGGATAGATCCTGGTCGCACTGCTTGGGGCCCCCACAAACAGACAAAGCCACATAACTATCCTCCACATGCAGAGGGCCTTGTTTGGTCCCATGCAAGCTCCACAGCTTTCAGTCCAGATTCCAAGGACCTTTCAACCAATAGAGGGGACAGTAAGACGAACCAACTCAAGTGGATCTGAACGGCAGCTAATCAGCAGCGGGTTCTCATTTCTACAAAGGCCTCATGCATGGGCCACCACCTGAAGGCAATCCTTTCCCTTTCCATCTGAGCTGAAACAACAGTACTTTCTGAAAAAGAGGAAGTTAGTTGGCTCTAAAGAAAAACAAAAGATGTAGCTCAGTCCCTTAGCCCCCTAGAGAATTCACTTTCCATGTTCATGCTCGTCTCAGTTACTCATAAGAGAGCCTTGACATGAGACCCTGCCTCCTTGTAAATGAAAGCCTGCTCTAGAAATTCCAATTAAAGATTTGAGTCCAGACCAGGCTCACCACCCCTCAAAGCTCACTCTTCCCATCAACTACTCTCTTATTCCTCATTCCCTGCCTCTCTTTCCTACAAATGAAATTTCCCTGTAATTCAGTCTAAGGGCAGATGGGTCTGTGAAGAGCTTCTCTGCAAAGATTTTCAGGCCAGAAACAGAAAATATAAGATAGTCTGTAACCAGTAACTTTGATTTCATCCATCAGTATGGCCCCTGCAATGCTATGTCATCACTGGATACAGATTCATCCACCAGTGACCATGTGGCAGCTTGGTGGTGTCTACTCTGCACAGAGCTGTAGAGGAATGCTTCTACACAATCCCATGATATTCCTTCTCTAATGGATAGTGGTAGAGTTCCACTAGTTACAACTGAACATTGCCCTTGAAGGAAGGGGCCAGAAATGGTGAGAATCTGCGCACCCAGCAGGTCCTCAACTCTGTCTCTTCCCTATGATGTGAGGTACTCAACCAAGTCCTTCACTGATGTCAGAGGCCATGCTTGACTTATCCTACTTATGTGGGTTATCACTATTTCTTTGACTTTATGGGTTTTCTTTTTGTTTTTTGGTCTGCTTGTTTACTTGTTTCTTTAAGGTGGCTTGTTTGTTTGCAGTACTAGAGTGTTAATTGTGATCCCTAAGTAATTATTTGGCTACTGGCTTCATCCTGAAGGCCTCATATGCCCTTTATGTAACTGATTGTAGAATTCATAATCTTATGTGAACAAGGAAAAGAGAAAATATTCTTATCAAATAAAAGCATGCTCCCATGAAAGCCATCTTCCACATGGCACCAGGTCACAGGGACCCCCTGGTCCTCCAAGCGTTTCTTGTAGAGCAAGGTGTCATCACGGAGAATGTCATGCTCGCAGCTCACCAGGAATGCTTCAGGAAGCTGAGCAATGGTTTTGTCATCTGCCAGTAGAGGTGAAACTTCTAAATTGAAAATACTGTTGGTTTCCAGATAGGCAGTTTCATTAAAAATTCCAGGAAATTTGGGTTGTGTGCCTTGACTCTTAAATCTTTGTGGGATGTTGTCAGAGCTCAGCCATTTGTTGTACTTCTCCCAATAGTCTGGGGGTATAACAGCACCTTTCAACATAGCATCCATCCAAGACAGGTCAATGGCCAAATACTTACACACACAGCTCATCAAAAATTTCCTAGGTAGGAATGGGGAATTTTGATTCTGCTGGTAAGATAGTAACTGAAAATTGATCTGCTGGAGAATTGGATAAATCAGAACCTGAGCCCGAAACCGGGGAAGATCTTGTCTGCCCAATAACATTTGGGTAATAGAGGCTGCACCCAAACCTCCAACGCTTTCCCCACTAACCACCACCCTGGCAGGGTCTACCCCATAGGTTTTCAGGTCTTTCATGAAGTGGATAGTGGCATTCAGGCAATCCAGGAAAGCAGCAGGGTGATGGTGGTCAGGAAGCTTACGGTACCTGAGGAGGAAAAAAAAACAAAATGAAAAAATGTAACACACTAACAAATACAGGGTTTAATAGAGGCTATACAAATAGTGATCTCTATGCCCAGAGGAGACAGAGCCTGATTAAACCTTAGAAATGACCCCCAAAATAAAGATGATGTCCTGGTTAACTTTAATTGCCAATCTAACAGAATCTATAATCATCTGAGAGGAGAGCCTCAGTTGAGGAATCTCCTAGATTAAATTGGCTTGTGGGCTGAGTCTGGCACAGTGGCACATGCCTTTAATCCAAGCACTCAGGAGGCAAAGACAGGTGGATCTCTGTGAGTTCAAAGCTAGACTGATGTACAAAGCACGTTCTGGGATTGGCAGGACTGTTACAAAAAGAAACCCCGTCTTGAAAATATATAAAACCAAAAACAATCAAACAAACTAAAAACTGGCCTGTGGGTATGTCTGTGTAGGATGGTTATCTTGATTGTTAATTGGAACAAGAAGGCTGATACCACCATGGGCAGCATCATTCCCTAGACAGGTGATCCTAGGCTATTATGCATGAGCCTACAAGCCAGCAATCAAGAAATATTCTCCATGGTTTCTGTTGTATTTGGCTGTGAAGTGAGTTCCTTGGTCAGATGTAATGCTTTGCAGATTAGCAAGCATGCCTGCCTTCAAGTTACAGTCTTATCACAGCAACAGGAAGAAAATTAGACTGAAAGATGATCATCATTGTTTTCTATTTGACTTTGAAGAACCTGCCCAGAGTCAGAATGGCAAAGATTCTCCATTCAAACACATATAGATCAACAGAGCTCACACATAATTATGCAAGTTGAAAGCTAATTGTACTGGAAGATAATTCTCACTGAAAGTGGAAAAACAAGCAATGACAGGGACAAGGCAAGGCCTTTTTAATTGCCTGTCAGTAAAGACCGGGAGGATAAGGTTAAATAAAGTCAAGATGATGACAGATGAGCTGGACATACCAGGAAAGAAGAGAGAGGCATGGGAGGAGAATGAAGGGCAACAAGAGAAAAGGTAAGAGTGATAGTCTCCTTGTGTTTCAGCATCACTTGGATATCTCTTCCCAGGCACTACTCACTGCAACTCTCCAGTCCCTGCCTCACAATGCTCAGACCTGTAGGCCAGAACTTTGCCATTCACCACAAAATTCACTACCGGTAGTCAGGAATCTTGTCGTGCGCACCTAAGGAGCAAGGAGAAGATGTAGCCCAATGGTGTGGAGATGCCAGCAGAGGAGTGTCTGTTTCTGTGCTCTGCATGCAAGAGATCTTCATCATCTGCAAGGACTTCTGAGATTTGAGTTCCAATGATTTAAGGTCAGTTACCACAGAAGCCAGTTAGGAGGAGGTCCCTGGAGACTCTAAAGATGCTGTCTTTGTCTTGTCATCAGAGAGAATCATACATGTTCAATGTGATGACTGATCTTGGTTATCAGTTTGACAATATCTGGACTCAACAAAAATCCAGCCAGCACTTGTGAGGGGTTTTCTTGATTAGAGCATTTGAGTTAAGAAGACCCACCATAAATCTCGGCTACATCTTCTGGTGGCAGCCAACATAAAAAGATAGTGAAGAAACTTTTGTGTTTCGCCTGCTTTTCCTTAGTCTTGCTGGCAAGCTCATCTATCCAGTTGCTGAGACATTCCTTATCTTATTGGAACTTACTTCTGTGAAATTCCAACACAGCCTAAAGACCAGCAGCTCTCTAGGAATCCTTTGGAACCTCAGCACCAGATTGGGATTGTTGAGGCATCCAGTATTGTAGTCAGAACAGCTATATGACTCTTGCTCTTCCCACTGAGAGACAGCTAGACAATAGCCTGTAAGACTATTTTTACTAAATTTATTTTATTAAGTATTCATTTTATATTCATCTCAATAGTTTTAATAAATTTAAAATTCATCCTATCCATTTTTGTTGCTCTAGAGAACCCTGACTAATACACTTACTGACTTCTTCCAGTCACAATATCTGCACTGTCTACCCAGCCTAAGAGATGCCAAAGTGTGAGGGAGCCATTATAAAAACAGTCTAACAGGGGACCTTTGATTTTCTCTCAGTGTTTTCTATTTAAAGTTTACTATGTTCCATTTACTCATGTTCTCTTGGAATGGGAAATGGAATTATAGTGAACATCCCCCTCTGCCTTCCTTCTACTCAGAAACTCCATTTGTTTGCAGAAGAGTAGAGTTGGGTCTTAAGTCACTCTAACTTGGTCCCTGTGTGTCTGGCATTGGGTAGACAGGTTTTAACAGTGTACCGAGAACTGTCAGAATCATCATTCCAACAAAAGCTTTGGGCTTCACATGAGCCATCCTTTACTGGTCCATTATCTTCTCCAGGCCATTGCCAACATGTTGAGAGGAAGGTTACTCTGTGTGGTGGTTTGAATGAGAACTGTCCCCCATAGGCTCAGATAATTGAACACTTGCTTTCCAGTTGGTAGCACTGTTTAGCAAGATGGTGGAACCTTTGGGAGGTGGAGTCTTGCCAGAGGATGTATGTCATTGCTAGTGGGTTTTTTGGTGTTTATAGCCTTGTCCCACTTACTATTCATTCTCTGCTTTGTGCTTGTGGTTTAAGATGTGACCTCTCGGCTTGCTACTCTTACTGCCCTGCCTGCTGCCTGCTATGATGGACTCTTATCCTCCTGGAATCATAAGCTGAAATGCATTCTCTCTTCCTTAAGTTGCCTTTGGTTGTGGTGGATTTTCATTAAATATTTTTATTTTAGTTTATAATTATGTGTATATGTATGAGTCTGTGTGGGGTTTTGTGCACATGGTACAGTGTTCACAGGAACCAGAAGAGGGTGTGGGATCCTCTGGAACTTGAACCACCAATGGTCACTGAACTTTTGATATGGGTGCTGGGAACTAACCTCAGGTCCTCTGCAAAAGTAACACATGCTCTTAACCCCTGAGCCATCTCTCCAGCCTCAGTTGTGGTGTTTTATCACAGCGACAAAAAAGGTAAGTAAGACACTCTGATCCATCATCCATTTTCTTTTGACATCAATGTATTGTGTCTCTAGGTATCCATAAAACATATCCTACTGATTTTTAATTATTTTATACTATGATAAAGATGGTATTGGGTTTGATGCAAGTTGTTGAAAAGTTTTATTTAATTTTTCACTTCCTGGATTCCTTCACATCATGATGTGCCTTTCTGCTTCATTTACTGAATGGACAGGGAGTGACTGGTCCAGAGCAAAGCAGTGTTGATGGGGAAATTCTTTTGTACGTATGTTTCTCATATTGGTTGATGAATAAAACACTGTTTTCCAATAGGAAAACAAGATAGGTGGGACTAGGAGACAAAGAAGATTTTGGGAAGTGTAGTAAGAGAAGTCGCCATGTGATCCCAGGAGGAGAGGATGCATGTGTCTTGGGATCTCAGTAAAATAAGAACATATAGAAATACAAATTAATAGTTATGGGTTAATACTTAAGACAGAGTTAACCTATAAGAAATCCTAGTCACCAACCAACAGCTTATAATTAATATGTCTCATATGTTATTTGGGGCTGATGCAGCACTAGGACCAGGCTGGTGGGAAGAGTTATCGTAACACAGGGCCATCTAATCTTGTATTAACACTACAATGACTCATCCAGGTACCTGATGAAGTCAATGTCTATTACAAGCTACTCACCCCACTGACAGCAGCACTGAATCTGTCTCCCGGGCCAGGTAGCTGCACATGTTGTGGTAACAATCTGTAAGACAAGAGCAGATCCAATGCAGCCCATGAGGAGGATCTAGAACTTTCTACTACAGCCCTAAGACAGATGCTTGTGCTGTGAGTAAGGAGGTAACATCCTCCCTGGAAAAGCCAATCACCATTCTTAATGTCAATGTCAGGGTTCAAGGGAACTTTGTGTCTCATCTTCTGTATCATTGAGCTTTATAGGGAAGAAACTGGGGACTAGGAAGCCAGGGAATCTGAAAGGACAAAGACAAGAATTGTGAGGTTTGGAATGACATGTTAGGACTATTAAGCATTTCATATAGTTCATATTGAATAGGAAATACACAAAGGCTGGATGAAACATTTCATTTAGGAGGGTGGTACATCTGAAGTCCAGAAGGTGGAGCATCAAGGTCCAGTGCCAGGAACAGAACCAGAGACATGCATCTTCCACTCAGCCCTGTCCAGCCCTCTGGATACTGGCATGCAGAGGCACCAGTTAGTCTGTGAACATGTTCTGCTAAGAATGCCAAAACCCAGTGGACCAGCAACTCTGAACTAGGAAGGCAAGAATCAGGATTGTAAAGTTTACCAAGTAATGTAGTGATGATAGGCAATTGGTAGGTGAAAACAAGGACTTTCAATGACACGGTAAGAAGTAAAAACGGGTCCTGAAGCCAATGCACCAAGGAATCTCAGCTAAGGCAGGAGGCCAGCTCTGTGTTCAAGGTTTGGAACAATCATGCTTCAACCTTGCTGTGTTGTTATGGAATAATCTGTACACTGTGAAGATGTGTCTTTGCCAAGGCACTTTTTGATTGACTTAATAAAAGAGCTGATGGGTAGGTATGGGCAGGACAGCCAGACAGAGGATGCTGGGAGGAAGAAGGGTGGAGTTTGAAGAATCTTAAGCCAGATGCAGAAGAAGCAACATGGAAAGTTCATAGATGAGGTAAATGATCATCGGGGCAGCATGTAGAGTAATAGAAATGGGTTAATTTAAGTTGTAAGAACTTGGGTGGAGACAAGCCTAAGATATCAGCCAAGCATTTGTAATTAATAATAAGTGTCTGACTGGTTATTTGGGAAGTGGCTGGTGGAACAGAGCTGATGACAGTCCCGATGAAAAACTTCACCTACAAATGGCACCCAAACATCTGGTACCTACATCCATGTAAGACCTGAATAAGGTTTAAAAAGGTTCTAAACACACAAAAATGGAGCCAAACACAGCTTCCTAGTCTTATGTCCCTCATTCTGGCTACAGCACAGAGAAGCATCTTCCAGCTGCTGCCTGTGGACGTGAACCTCCAGTGCAAGCTCTACCGATGTGAGCTCTGCCAGTGTGCAACATGGCAGGTTTGGGGTTTTGCTTATGAAGACAGAAAAGGTTACAGATGTTCAGTAAAGAGAGATCTGGATAAAATCCCTCTAAATGGGTTACAGTATGTTAAAAAATGTACACAGGCTTGGAAGAGAAAAAAGGAAAATGGTATAGGGAGTCATAAAAAATACGTAGTATTACTGAAATGAACTCCTGAAATCCAGTGACAGAAAGGGAGGATTAATGAGCAAAGGGGTCAAGACTGGGCTTGTTTAACCCACAGAAACAGCTGACTTGAACAAGGGGGAGCTCTTGGACCCCAGACTGATGGCTGAGAGACCAGCATGGGACTAATCCAGACCCCCTCAATGTGGGTGTCAGTGAGGAGGCCTAGGAAATCTATGGGACCTTGTGTAGTATTTATCCCCGGCATACAAATGGACTTTGGGTGCCCATCCCACAATAAGGGATGCTCTCTCAGCCTGGACTCTTGGGGGAAGGCCTAGGCCCTGCCCTGAATAAAACGACAGACTCTGGAGATCCTCCATGGAGGGCCTCACCCTCCCTGGGGATCAGAGTGGGGATTAGGTAGGCGGCTGGGAGGCATAGTCAGGGAGAGGCAGGGGAGGAGGGCTGGGAGAGGGAGCTGGGATTGACATGTGAAGCAAGCTTGTTTCTAATTTAAATTAAAAATAAGAAAAAAGAGACCCGATTTCCTCCCGCTCACCCTTTCTCGAAGCCCCTGGCTTGGGGACTGCAGCCAGGTCGACCCTCCCTTCCCAGAGATGATGACCAATCGACCAGGAGCCTGTAGAGAGAGCTGGTACACTTCTGCCCACAGTGTACCAGAGAGTACCAGAGGACAGAAGTGAACACCAGGTCCCCATCTTTGACCCAATTTCCTCCTGCTCGCCCTCTCTCGATCCCCTGGCTTGGGGACAGAAACCAGGTTGACTGCCCCCTGGAAGGACTACCAAGTGACCAGGAGCCTGAAGAGAGAGCTGCTCCACTTCCACCCAAACCCAGGGCAGAGGGCAGAGAGCAGAGAGCAGAGGCCAGAGAGTATTGGATTTGCTTGCACCCACCGAAAGGGAACCCTGGTGGCCTACCCACCAGGAGAGGAAGATACCATCTTACTCCTGTCAGAATGGCTAAAATCAAAAACACCAGTGGCAGCTTATGCTGGAGCGGATGCAGAGAAAGGGAAAGACTCATCCATTGCTGGTGGGAGTGCAAACTTGTACAGCCACTTTGGAAATCAGTATGGAGATTCCTCAGGAAAATGGGAATCAGTCTACCACACGACCCAGCAATTCCACTCTTGGGCATATACCCAGAAGATGCCCATTCATACATCAAGGATGTCTATTCCACTGTGTTCATAGCACCATTATTTGTAATAGCCAGATCCTGGAAGCAACCTAAATGCCACACAACTGAAGAGTGGATAGAGAAAATGTGGTAATACTCAGCAGAAAAACACAATAGAATCTTGAAATTTGCAGGTAAATGGATGGCATTGGAAGAACCCATCCTGAGTGAGGTAACCCAGTTACAAAAAGATAAACATGGTATGTATTCACTCATATATGGATTTTATACATGGATCAGGGGAGTGTCAGCCTGGGATTGTAGGCTGGGAAGCAGGGAGGTTCCCAAGAGAAATGCATTGTACCCCAGAGAAGTGGAAAGAGGCAAGATCTCCTGAGCATATTGGGAACATGGGTTGGGGGAGAAGAGAGGGAACCAGGAAAAAGAGAGGAGGATAGGAGGAGGGTAGAAGAAGACATAGGGGAGCAGGAAGGCTCAGTCGGGGTAAGAATAGAGGGGACCAGGATGAGAGATACCATAATAGTTGGAGTCATTATAGCTTTGAAGAGATAGATGACACTAGTGAGATTCCCAGAGATGTACAAGGATAACACCAACTGGAAAACTAAGTAATAGCAGAGAGACTACATTAATAGCCCTTACCTGATGATAAGATTGGTGACTACCTTATGTGACATCCTAGAACCTCCATCCTGTGACTGATGGAAGCAGAGACAGATACTCACAACTAAACACTGAACTGAACCCCTGGAACCCAGTAACAGAGTTGGAGGAGTGATGAGCAAGGCAGTCAAGACCATGCTGATGAAACCCACATCCAGAACAGCTTAAAGGCTGCTGGCTGAGATCGTCCAGTCTAACAAACTACTCCAGAAATTATTCTGAATTTCCCCCAAAGATACCAACACTCTCTAACAATAGCAAGCAGTCTAGAGAACAGCACCCATGCTCCCAAAAGATGAATTATGGGTGTTTATTATCATTTAATGGGAGTTGGTTACAAATTGTTACTGGTTTTAGTAAAAAAGGCTAAACAAAATAGTTAAATTCAAAGATCTCTTTCTAAAGAAAAGGGGAGATACGATATAGGAATGATAAGATAAAGGGTAGGTTATTGAATCTCCTTCAATCCAAAAAAATCTATTACTCTCAAAGAGTTTTACATTGGCATAGATTTTGGTCTATTGATACAAATTTAAAGTCACTTTTATACTGTATGTATGTTTCTACTCTTGTTTTTACAGCTCATTTAAAAATATATTGTAGCCGGGCGGTGGTGGTGCATGCCTTTAATCCCAGCACTCGGGAGGCAGAGGCAGGCAGATCTCTGTGAGTTCGAGGCTAGGCTGGATCAACAGCCTCCAAAATAATACAGAGAAACTCTGTCTCGTAAAACCAAAAAAACCCATATGTATATAGTAAAATTAAGAAATACAGGTTAGTAGTTAGTCATCTATAATAATCAAGCTTGTAGTCATATTAGGTATGTTTTCAAGATTAAATAGTTATGTTTAGATAGATAGATGTTCTTCAAGCATTTCAATGACCTGCAGAATGTCTGTCAGATATACCAGGTCTGTAGGCCAAAGTTGGATGTTCTAACATTGCAGAAGAACTTTGGGTGATTGTCCAGACAGTCGGGTGTCCCTGTCATTAGGTAACATTATATCCTTCTGGGGTCCTTCAGGATGTTAAAGACTAAATAATTAAACTTATAATTTTAGGCAAGAGAGAGGGGAAGGGAGGTAGGAGAAAGAGGAGGGAAGAAGAGGAGGTAGGAGGAGAACATGAGGGATCAGGAAGATTGAGTCAGGGATGAATAGAGGAGAGCAAGAAAAGTACCTTAATAGAGGGAGCCATTATAGGTTTAAAGAGAAATCTGGCACAAGGGAAATGTCCAGAGTTATAAAAGGATGACCCCAAATAACAATCTAACTAGTAGTGGAGAGACTACCTTAAATGTCTTTCCTCTATGATGAGATTGATCTACCTTATATGCTATCCTAGAGTCTTCACCCGGTAGCTGATGGAAGCAGAAGCAGAGATTCACAGCTAAACACTGAGCCAATTCCTGAAACCCAGTTGTAGAGAGGGAGGAGTAATGAGCAAAGGGATCAAGACCAGACTAGGGAACCCACAGAAACAGCTGAACAAGTGGGAGCTCATGAACCCCAGCCAGACAGCTGGGGAGCCAGCATAGGACCAAACCAGGCCCCCTGAACATGGGTGACAATTAGGAGGCTTAGGCAGTGTATGGCGCCTCTTATGGTAGAACCAGTATTTATTCCTAGTGTAAAAATGACTTTAGGAACCCATTCCACCATGGAGAGATATTCTTTCAGCCTAAACACATGGAGGAGGGCCTAGGCTCTGTCCCAAATGATGTGATAGACTTTGATGATTCCCCCATGGATGGCCTCACTCTCCCTGGGGAGTGAATGGTAGCGGGGGGGGTTGATGGGACCATGGGAGAATGGGAGGGAGAGGGAACTGGGATTGATATATAAAATAAGATTGTTTCTAATTTAAATAAAATATATTTAAAATTTTTTCCTTAATTGTGAAAAAAAGGAAATTTGGTATAATACTTTAGACTTATAACGATAAGATAAAAAACAGAATTGTTTCTTTAATTTTTCCAAATACAAATAGACAGGATATTGTAACTATAATTCTTAATTGCTAAAAGTTTTTTATGTATAGTTTTACTGCATTAAAGTTAAAACCTTCCTTTTTAATTAGACAAAAGGGGGAAATGTTATAGAATAATCCTTTTGCACACTGTGTAGGTGTGTCTTTGCTAAGGAACTTTCTGATTGGTTTAATAAAAGAGCTGACTGGCTGATAGTGAGGCAGGAGGTATGGACAGGACAGCCAGGCAGATGATGCTGTGAGGAAGAAGGGTGGAGTCTGAGGAGTCTCAAGCCAAATATGGAAGAAGCAACATGGAAAGTTTATCTATGAGGTAAATGAGCCTTGGGACAGCACATAGATAATAGAAATGGATTAATGTAAGTTGTAAGAGCTGGCTGGAGGCAAGCCTAAGCTATCAACTAAACATTTACAATTAATAAGTCTCTGTGTGGTTATTTGGGACTGGCTGACTGGACAAGAAGTCTGTATATTAGCATCATTCAGGCTTTCTTAAGTACAGATGTCTGGGACTTCGTTAGACAGGGACTGAATTGACTTGTAGGAGGGGACTGGGAGTGATGTGACATTAATGGACAGTCGTTATGGAGTCCCTCTTAGTCACTACTTAGGCACTTTCCCTATCCAACTTCCCCACAATCTGTCTTACTCACATCCTTCCTCCAATTAAGAGCCTCTAGCTGCCCCAGTTTCAGAGTTTTGTACCTGTCCCTGACTCTGCTTGGGATGAATAGGACAGGAATGAGATAAGTGATAAGTCTCTGTGGACACTGAACCAAAGGAACACCAGGACTTTAGCAACTCATATAAGTAGCATTTCTAGGGGTGTTTTACACCACTGAAGAGCTTGGCAATCTAGGGGGAGGTTCCCAAGGGTTACTGACACTGAAAAGTGCTCCTGAACAAGGATGGGACCCATACCTGGGTTCTAATCATAGTTAATTTGTGGGCATCATATTCAGCAATTTCAGGTGTAGAATAGCCACAGATATTTCTACCACAAGGTGGCAGTAAGTAATCCCTGTCGAATCCTGTTCTACAAATGGAGAGGGACATCCATCTGTCCTTGTCTACATCTGTGTTTCTTGTTCATTCAGTCAGTTGTTCCTTTATAAAATTGTCCTTTCACTCAACACATATCCATGTTTTTTATAAGTCCATCAAAAATACGAACAATAAAGCCAAGTACTGGGGATCCAACCATACCGACCACCTAGGTCTCTCCCTCTTAGAGTTCCCATTCTTAGTAGGCACAGAAAGATGGCAAAAAGAAAAAAGGGGGGAAACCAAAACAAGCTCAGAGGATGACAAATGCCATAAAGACATTCATTGAGGAAGATATCACAGGTAGAGTTGGAGGGTAGGTGTTTAGCCTCAGAATGGCAGACAAATTCTGTAGATAGATGTTAGGAGAGGCTACTCTAGAAAGGCTATTTGTGAAAAGATCCAGGACCAAAGGGGTGCTAACACGTTCCAAGCCAGACACAGGGGTCATGTTTTGAGAACAAAACAGCATGCATGGAAGACCAAAACTGATTATCTCAGAATGTGTGCTGTGTGTAACAGAGTCTGTGCTGCAGCATAGCAAGGGGACAAAAAGTAACTGCATGGGAGAGGATATCACAGGGGGCAAAGAAGGGGCTAGACTGAAGAAATGTTCTATGAGGTGTGTTTTAAGACCCTCATGATTCATAAAAAGGAACATCCTACAAGTTAAGAAATGGAGACGAGGGTACCATTAGGATGACTAACTGAAGGGGTGGGGTGGATACAGATGTGCTGCACTGTGTTGGTTCAGCAGAGCTGAGAGATGTGTGTGATTTGGAGATCTCAAATGAGCCAGTGCCTTTGAGAAAGAATGGAAGGGAGGTATCACACCACTTACTTGGCTGCTTGTGACACTGTCTCCCCTTCTGGAGTAAGATTTACTATAGAAAACATTTACATGGAAACTGCAACCTTATGGGCCAACATGACCCTCATCCTCTATGTGACCTCCTCAGAAGAATTTCTGGCTACTGCTTTCTTTGGATCCTTCCCAAGAATTCCCAGTGGAACATAGATGTATTTATGTCAGTTATGACAACCCCCTCCCTTCCAATGCCTCAGAAACACTTCTTACCCAGGCCACCAAACACACAACCTCCTCCATGGTAGAAGATGATGCCTCGCCGGGGGCCAGAGGAGGCTGTCTTGGGTTGGAACAGCCTCACAGGGATTGTTCCAAAATGCAGGTTTTTTACCAACACACCATAGTTATTCTTTGGTACCAGCAGGTCTTGCATAAAGCGGAAAAAGTGAGGCATGGAGCAAATTTTCATCTTCTCCAGTACATTCCCCTGTGGAAAGATAGAAAGAAATACCAGTTGGCTGCCCTCTACAGACATCCATTCCTTCCTCTCTATGACTATTGTCCAAAGTATTATATAGATCAACTCAGGACTTTGTCAAAGCTCATAAATGGTATTTTATAGCTCACATGATGCCCTTGCCATACACAGCACACAGTAAAGTTGAGTGCTGGCCCAAAGCCTACCACAAACTTGAAGTTTCTTGGTATAGTCTTTGCAGCTATGAGTTCCATGCCTAGTTCAATTTCTGCTCCAAACTGTGTGCCCCAAACTTGGTGACTCAGTGACAACTTTTTTCATAATTCCCTCACCCACATAGCAGAATAAATTTCCATGTACTCCAGGGCTTCTGGGTGTCATAAAGTGAGTGGGTTATGAAAACTACCAAACAATGAAGTTTGCAAATGGTGACTATCTTTCCCATGGTAGTCTGACCATCAACTATGTACTTGTCAGAAACTCTGTGGTGTTCTTTAAGTGTGAATGACAGGGATGGAATCCACTGGTAAGCCTGAAAGTCAAGACCACTGTCTTAGTTAGGGTTTTTATTGCTGTAAAGAGATACCAGGATCACAGCATGATGGGAATGTCTTCTGTACATATGTTTCTCTTATTGGTTGATGAACAAAGCACTGTGGCTAATGAGTCAGGATGATAGGTGGGACTAGGATATGAGGAGGATTCTGAGAAATGTAGGCAGAGGGTTAACATGTAGGCTGCCAGAGGAGTAACACTATTCTTGGCATGACTGGGTAATCCACAGCCTCACGACAATACATGGATTGCTAGAAATAGGTTAGTAATTAAGACAGAGCTAGCCAATAAGAATCCCTAGCTAATGGCCAACATTATTATAATTAATATAGCATCTGAGTGCTTATTTGGGGGCTCTAGGGTGGCTACAGAACCAGGCGGGAACTTCTGTAACAACAGCAACCTTATCAAGGAAGACATTAATTAAGGTGGTAGTTTACATTATCAGTATGATGGGGGGGCATAGCAGTGTGCAGGTAGACATGGTGCTGGAGAAAGAGCTGCTGCATCTTAATGTGCAGGTAACAGGAAGTAGGTTCAGACAGTGGGCAGTATCTCAAACATAGAAGACCTCAAAGCCTATCCCAACAGTGACATACTTCCTCCAACAAAGCCTCATTTCCTAATATGGCCACTCCCTTTGGAGGCCACTTTCTTTCAAACCAACACACACACTTTATATGTTTGAGGAGGCAAAAGGTGGGACTAGAACCTGGTAGCCACAAATGACTCACAACAGGTCAGTCTTGGACTATAACTTCTGTGCCAGCTGGCATGGGAACTGGATTAGTGAGTTCAACTTTTTACTCCCGAACAGGTTGATGCTCTGGTGGTAGACTCCACCTGGAAGATTAGATGTTTGTGGGCTTACTTTCCATGTGACCTTTCATCCTATTGGGGAAAACACCAATGGCCTTAGAACATCTTTAGCAGTTTACACAGACTACAACCACACCCCCTAAGGCCATCCCCTTCCCTTCCCCTCCTCTTCTGTTCCTCTACACTGAACTCCAAGCTGATCCTCCAAAGTCCAGGTCCCCAGATCTCTCAACCAACAAAATATCCATGTACACCTTCCCTCATCCCCCTGTTATCTGCTAGGTCAGATGTTACCTCTCAGCAGGGCAGATCTCTTCAGCCTCTCCCTAGCGGAGTTATGGTCTCCTACCTTTTCTTTCCTGTGGTCAGCTTCAGCTTCCTCTCAGGGCACTGTTTTGAGAGCGTGTTGGGTATGTTAATGAGTGTGCATCATTTGTTATTAGAAGGGAAGCTATGAGTGATGTTTGTCTTCTATATTCACCTCTGTTCTGGAAGCCTTGGTTGGAACCTGACCAGAGGGTGTATTCAAAGCCCAGTGTGCCAGGGTGCATAGTCCCATTGGGCACACACATACACACACACATACAGAGAGACAGAGAGAGGCACACAGAGAGAGACAGACACAGAGAGAGAGAGAGAGAGAGAGAGAGAGAGAGAAACAGAGAGAGAGAGAGAAACAGAGAGAGAGAGAAACAGGGAGAGGGGGAGTGTCATGAGGGATGGCCTATAAAAGTCTCAACACCATTATTTTCTCATTTCTTTATGACGAAGATTCTTTGTCAAAATAGAATATAAGCCCTCAGGTCTAACCACCTTTTGCAGTCTGTATACATCAGATATCCATATAAAGTGATTAATATCATATACCATCTATCTCCAGTAAATCTGTCTTTTAATTTCCAAAGCCACAGAACAGATCATAGCAGGGAAAATACAATACTCCTTTGCCCTTCACAAAATTTTGTAATAGTGACATGAATGTTATGGCAGTAATCAACCACTTTCTCATTGGATCTAAAACCCACTCCATGAGATGAACCCATATAAGGCACTGTTAATGGGGCCAAGAACCAGTGACTAGATAAGTCATAGGCCCCAGAGGAGACCCTGGGACTGTTATTCTGCTACTTGGGCACAGTGTTAAAATGACTTCTAGCTGCTCACTGCCTGTTGCTACATGCACAGATCAGTGCATCTCTCAGCTCTCATCAGAGACGCTTCCCCTTGAACTAGATGACAATCAACACAGAGATTCCTTGACTGGTCAATGTGCAAAGAATTAAGAGACACTGTGAAATGCTCAGTCCTGAATGAGACACCTGTATCACGCTCCTCTCTCAAGGCTCAGGGGCCTTCACAGAAGAGAGTACAGAAAGATTAAAGAAACTAGATGACACAGAAAACTTCAAGGACACAGTAGTCTCTGGACATACCAAGGCATATACAAACTCAAGGCAATGTGACAGCATGTGTAACACCTCCTCAAGCACAAACCAGATCAAAATTTCAGCATGGAAGGAAAGATGGTGGGCACAAAACCCTAGGACTAGCTGAAGGACTATTTATACGTAATAGCATTTGTGGGAGGAAAAGTCAGTTTCTTAAATGTTGTGGTCCCTGGTTAGGTGAATAAGACTCTAGGGCAGGCCCAACTCCTAAGAATATAGAAACTTGACTTGATAAAAATAAATAAATAAAGACAAAAAATCAAAGCTGAGTGGGTAGGGGGGAAGAGTAAAGAGAGTAGAAGTATCAGGAGTAGGAAGAAGGGTGAATATAGTGTAAATACATTATATGAAATTATCAAAGAAAAATATTTTTAAAATTGAATGGGATCCACCCTTACCAAGAAGGTACTAAAATCTTGTGCTGTGGTTTGAGACTACTGGTTCAAAACACTCAAAATATATGAACCATGGAGACCAGGACATCACAAAATGTCAGACCCTTCTACACCTAACTGAAGACACTGTTTCTACCAAAATAACAATAAGCTGTGTTTCCCAACTGGTTATGAACTGATAGTTTTATGATACCCTTCCCAAGGTAGGGCCACCACACATAATTCCTCCCCCAATTTTTATCAAACAGACTCCAGAGTCCTTCTCATCAGAAACCTTCTTTATGAATTTCTTCCCTACTAATTGTCCCCATGCTAGTATATGAACTGAGAGACTACTCAAAGCTCACTTAATGGACACTGTACAGGGGTCCACAGTACTTAAGAAGTCCTTATCACGATGTCTCCCATCATCACTGACCAGTGTTTATTATCAGGTGCTCTTAAATTATGAGTCTTTGCCAAATCCCTTCCCAAGGCTGGAATTTTGTGTACCCTAGGCAGGATGCAGTCATTAAAAACAAAACAAAACTTACCAGTGTTAGTGTCAGCTGGAATAAGTAGTGCACAATGTGAAATCTCACTCGGTGTGTGATGGCAAGAGGAACATGGACGGTGAAGATTTCCTCTATGAAAACCCATACACTGACCCCGAGGACCAGGAGACATGCACCAGTGAGGAGGATTATCACCAAGATCATGGCTGTCTTGGCCCTTTAGAATGAGCTGAGGAAGACCAGTCACTTGGAAAGAGCTTGTAGAACTCTCTCCTCTGCAGATCCAGGTGCCTTATAATACACAGAGTGACTCCAGGGCCTTCCCCCTCCCACTACAGGCAGCTGTGGCATCTGAGAATGTCTTTCTGGGATGTTCGATGGATTACATCAGATCTCCACCTGGAGAAGTTCCTGCCCAGCAGCAGTGGTGCCCAGGCACCTTGTCCCAGTATAGGTTGGCTTTTTAATCATACCACCTGGAGAGTCATCAGCTGATTAGAAGAGTGACAACAGTGAGGAAGAAATCGCTGGAGTATGATGTCAAACGTGGTTACATCTGTGAGAAACTTGGGAAAAGTGCAGAAGTCCTGCCAAGGGTCTTATGGGTCTTCTTTCAAGAGCATAGCCAGAGATTTGAGAGATGGACTTATGACATTTGGTGAAGGAAAACAGAGGAGTGTGTGGGAAGTTGCCCACCCACCATTCTCTCTTCTTGTTAGCCTGTTGTACTTGGTATTAGCAATTAACTTCACAATTGCTCCTTGTCTTAGCCTCATCATATATTTTATGTATCATACATAGACGTTTATGGTATAACTGATGTCACTGGGGGATTAGTTAATTTAGAGACAGGAAAAAAAACTCACCTTGAGCACACTTTCCTATATAAACCAAGACATGTAAGATTAAACACCACTTCCTTTATTGGGTTCTCACCATCAAGAAGGTGTGGTGATTACCCGAAATAGCTGAGAGACTGGAGAGTACACTGAGATCCTTAAGAGCAGTGGACATGAGACAGACTCATAAGGGGGACGAGGCATCTGCTGTATGGACGTCGCTGTGAGCAGTAAGACATGCAATGGAGACTCTTGTCTGCCCAGAAAGAATTTGCCCACAGAAGGGAAGAATTGCAAAAGAAAAAGGCCGTGGACATTCTCTGCAGTTTGATTTTGGAAAAATCAGTGATTCAGCGTGAAGGCAGGGACTTTATAACAACTAAGTATAGGAAAGTATTACAATTGGGGACAATCTCCATCTAAACTTCTTGAATTTAAGAAGAGTCAAAAATGGAGTGGAAAATCCCTCACAGGCTGCCTTGTGAGTTGGGAGCTTGTGTGATCAGTCTCTGTGCTGTGGAAGCAGAAACACTGGGTGATGTAACTACTCAATCCTTCTTGAGACAAGGGCTACATGATCTGAAACAATACAAAAGGAATCAGCCTCTAATAGACAGCACCATGGGAGCCATTAGAGACACTGATTACTTCTGGTTGAGTGCCCCATGAGTGTCAAGAGCTGGAGGACAACAGAGGAAGGATAGATATTACTGGAGAAACTGGGTGTAGGGAGGTGGTGTTTAACACTCAGTTCCCAGATGAGATCTGATAGTGTTCAGGAGAGAGCAAGAAAGAGGCTGGTTAGACAGGTATCCTAAGGTTAATACTATCCACCCTCTGTTCTTTTTTAAAGTGGGTGGGTGGTTAGCAAGATGGCTCAATGGGTAAAGAGGATAGATGCCAATTCTGACTATCTGAGTTTGATTCCTAAAACACATGTAGTGGAAGGAAAGAACCAAGTTCCAAAAATTGTCCTCTGGTCTACACACATGAGATATAGCACATACATGCTTGTACTAATACACATAACACACACACACACACACACACACACACACACACACACACACTATACTCTGATTTGGTTTTTGGAGACAGAGTTTCTCCATATTGTTTTGGAGCCTGTCCTGGAACTCACTCTGTAAACCAGGCTGGCCTCTAACTCACAGAAATCTGCCTGCCTTTGCCTCCTGAGTTCTGGGATTAAAGACATGTGACACCAACACCTTTATTTATACTAATATAAGGGAGAAAAAATGTTCCAAGTTCTGAGCCAAAAACTACTCAGAAGCAATAGAGTTATGACTCCTCACCTGATTCCCCAACTGTTACTCACCCAGCGAGGCTTCTTGACTAAAATACTGACTAGGTCATCTGCCTTTATATGTTCTCTCTCTCTCTCTCTCTCTCTCTCTCTCTCTCTCTCTCTCTCTCTCTCTCTCTCTCTCTCTCTCTCTCTCTCTCTCTCTGTGTGTGTGTGTGTGTGTGTGTGTGTGTGTGTGTAGTATTTATTTGTTTAAAAAAAACAAGATCTTGATTTGATGCCTATGCTGGCCTTATATTCAAAATCTCCTGGGCTTAGCCTTGTGACCAGCTGGGTTACAGCTGTGCTCCTCCACCCAGTCACAGGCTTATATTTTAGCTCTCTTCCTAATCTCTTTGTGGGGGTATGTAGAGCAGTTAACTACACTGATTCTGGGCAGGAGGAAAAGCAATACTCACAGGTGCCTGTTTAAAATGACTATCTTGAGGACTAATACTGATGGCTTGTCCTTGGAAGTCAACATAGGCACTTCCCTAATATCAGGCAGCAGAAGACTACTTACCTTAGTTCTATGTCTTAGCCTACAGATGCTCTTGTTTGCTATAACTCTCTTGCTAGAATATTTAACACAGTGGATGTCAGGGGAACTGGGCAGAACCACAATGGATCTCTAATCATTGAGTCAGGGTCACTTTGGTGGGAGGGTCTATATGAAGAGACTGCATCTTTTTCCCCCTACAGGATAGTAAAGCAAATGCAATTCTATATCCCAAGGGGGCACAGCAGAGACCAAGGCTGCCATAGATGAGTTAAAGAAGTGCCTATCACACAGATTGCATGCACCTGACTGGCATATGCAGAAATATATTGGAGAATGATGGTGAACAGTTCTGAAATTACTTGGGCAGTTACTCTGAATGAAGCTGCTCCCCAGCTGTAGTGTCTTACTGCAGCAAGTAAACCCATAACCTAGTAAGCAGCCACATGCTTGCCTGATGTCCTTTTCTCCATACCACAAAGTAAAGGCAGAAGGCTTCTTCTCCTTTTTCTGTAAGCCATCTCAGTCTTGCCTTGGGCTCTCCACTACAAGAACCATATAATCCTCAGAGATCTTGCATGTTTTGACATTCTGCAAAGGATCACA